CCTTATCAAATGCAATCAAAACTAACATTAAAACATATAGAAGGCTACTAAAATTTTCCTCCCACATATGCATTCCAAGAGACAATGGCATTTCTTTTCAGAAAGCTTTACTGCTCTCCTGAAACTCCATAAAGGACAAAATAAAGGTCACTCTTTATCTTTTAGTTAGAATAAATGGACTTGTATCTGACCCTGGAAAGGGATTAAAATATTCCACATAAAAGTCAATTTATATATTAGCTTGCAAACATTTCTTCTATCCCATCACTGACAAAATAACTGAAGGGATGTATTTTTTATCCTCTCTCCTCTTTCAAGTCCTCATAAAATAAATATAATATGGGGTGGTCATTCCTCTTATTCCACCAGCTTTTCACCAGGATCCAAAGGCTGCTACGTGTTGAAAGAAAGAGATAAGCAGATCCTTACACTAAGTTTAAGGTCCTAAACTATGAGCTAGGAGATCAATTTATCTTTGCTGAAGCATATTTCATGCTTCATATTTCCACTCTACTGGATTTAAGATTTAATGTTTAGACTATACTCTAAAGCAGTGATTCTCAACTGTGGACCATATGGATCCCTGGAGAAGCTAGGATATTTCAAGGGGCCACAGGTAAAAAAATGGAACAGATGGCACAGCACATGCTGAGGGGGCCACAGAAAAGCAAAATGTATTATATTGCAAATACTGTATTGTTGACACCAGAAAACACACTATACCATGTCCATATGTGGTAATAGGACCTGGATGGGGAGACACAGAAGAAAAACAAGGTTGGAATGGGGCCACAGGTGAAAAAAGGTTGAGGAACACTGTTTTAAAGCATTTTCGACTTCTTCCAATGTTGTACCATAGATTTGATACACTGGCACTGTTGCCTGTGATTATGAACTACAACAGATCAGACTCAATACTATAGTAGCCTATTGCTTAAGACAGTTCTGTGTGGGTGCATTCCTTTTGCTCTTCTAGTACACTTTTAAGGAGAAACATGAATGAACAGAAAATTCTTTCTTGTTGAGTCTGACAGTTTCAACAAGGATAAAGGTAAGGAAAGACTGTCCTCTTGTGGCAGTTAAGGTAGAATTTAAATTAGTCACAGGCTGATTCACATAAGCAGTTTGCACCACCTCAAGTATGGGCCCCTGACTATTTCTAGGGAAGGAGAACCCAGTATCATCCTCTACTTTTATCCAACCCACAGGAAGACAACTTCCATCCATCTTTTTTTCATTTGTGGCAGCTTATGCAGTGTTGTCCTGTTCACCCACAATCGCCTGTTCAAACACCTTCACTCTAATTGGCTATTGTGCTCTGTAGCAGGAATATCTCCTCCCCTCTGGACATTGGTCACTTTCCTCCATGGCCATTTTTAAAAAATTCATCAGTGAACAGTGAAAGCTGGACTTTTTCCTCTTCTTCTTCCCCTCCTCCCCCTGCTAGGTTCACTGATGGAACAATGAAAGTCCTCTTTTTAACCAGGTGAAATTGACAAAGGTTCTGCTACTTTCCTATTCTAGCCCAAGTGATTGGAAAAGTGATAAAACTGTGGAATTTTCTCTTTTTTCCCTCTCTTACTAGTTCAGGAGAAATAAGGAAACGGGAATCCACCAATCAGGGACTATGGAAAATGGAGGCGAATATGTGTAGCTCAGCGTTGAACTGTGG